AATGACGTTCATCCTTAAAACTTTAGTTTTACGTAAACCTAGTTCAGTAATTGCTTAACATTCCAAGAAGCCAAGCATCAGACCAGTTGACAGCAGCTTTTGACATCATTATGTCAGAAGATTATTAGATTTTAATTGTTATTGCTTCTAAAAGTAAACTAAGATCTAAATAATTATGGAAGTGTTTATTATAATTTGTTTATATTCTCCGAAAATGTTTTTAATTAATTCGAAATACCTACAATGTGCAATTTAAGACAAGGAGTTCTTCAAGAAGTTATATTAAATAACATTGGAACTTAAGGTAACTTTCTAAAAAGCAACTATTTGGTTGTCATTTTAACATAACCTGGACTTAAAATCAGACTTAAAAGTGGAAAATGAAGTCCTCTGGGCAACTTACAGCAATTAAAGTTTAAATCTTCTTAACTCAATTATGTTGTGCAGCAACTTATGGATATAGATGTATAAGGTTACAGTCAAAGTCTAATCAACCAACCTCCACCTGTTCTCCATATACCTCGTTCTACATTTACGAAATTTCCTAGGATAATCAATACTTCTGTAGTGAAAATCAAAAAGCGATAAAGCTAACTTCTTAGTGGAAAAAAAAATCTTACGCATTTGGAATTCGACACAAAATTGTGTGTTGTAAACATTTTAATTCAATCATAGTATATAAAAGGCATTTCTAATCATATTATTCACTGCATTTTTAGGCGAAGCAGTTATTAGGTTCATTTTGTTAAGCTTTCCTAGAAAAGGAACATAAGTGAATTCTGTCCATCAAAAATTTCATGTTACACTATTAAAATGAAAAATAATAAATTCTATATATGTCCCGTTAATAAAATCGGCATAAAATCGGATTAGTTATGAATTATGTTATTAAGTGCCAAATACTAATATACATTTGAATCTACATTAAGGGGTCTATCATTATGACTCTTCAAGTAATATTGTTACGAATTTTTTACATAGATAGATAATTTTAGTGAAATTATATGTGGAATTGTTTTATTTTTCTATATAATGTGACATGAAGAGCTGAGAGAAACCCTGTTCTGCTGGAAAATAAGAATACAGAGGCAAGTCTGTTTAACATTGAATAAATGGCTGTCTCGATAACTGGGCGAGACATCGCCAAGCTGGCGACGGTTTTGGCGACTAATTTTTGTCTCCAAATTTGGCGATAAATCGTTAAAAGTCGCCATACTTGGTGATCATTTGGCAACATTTTGGTCCGGTCCCCGTATAACTGTAAGGGATATTGTAATTGAATAACTGTAATTGATTCCTATAATAGCTATAACCGTATTCGGCCTTCAGATGCTTTCCAGTAATTTCGAAGAGCAGAAAATACTAGAGATTTCTCGGCGGCCTGGAAAAATCTATATAAGATCTGAGAGAGTGTTAGTTTCTCAGTAGTTACTTGTTAGTTTAGAGTTAAATTCGGAGTATTGAGATAGCCGTCTTAGCTTCGCTCTTTAGATGCGTTTTACTTAATATTCTTAGTAGTCCGAAGTGTAACTACTGTGTGTGTGTGTGTGTATTTAATTATGGCAAAGCACACTAGGGTTATCTGCCTAAGAGGAGGGATGCCTTCGTGGAGGGATGCCTTCGTGGAGGGCTTTCTAAGGGAAACTGGCTCGTATACATGTTACGCATGGGGAAAACCACGAAAACGCCCATATAAAGAGATATGGCTGGGCTGCTGAAACAAAAATGTGTTTATTTATGGTCTACTTGAGTGGAGATCACAAGTGATCACAGAGTAAACTTATGATTGTCAGAGCTGCCCCTTTCATTACCCCGTGAAGAGAAGACTTTGGATTGCATTTTTAGAGCAAAATGGTACAACTTATTTTCACGGCTCAGTTTGTGTGAAAACATTCTGATCATGTGGATGATTGCTAGAATATAAAAGAAATAACCATGATTTTTCCTATTGTGTAATAGAAGGTTTTAGAGACATTAGATATTTTTGAAAGCAGGCAAGATGAAAAATTAACAACCGCCTTCGTCGGGAATCGAACCACGGACCTCTGGATACTGGCCCAGCGTGCAGAACCACTATACCTCGAAGGCGCGCCAGGAAAGTGGGAGAAATACTTTATAAGTTTATGTTGCATTTATGCTGTTTTTGTTATTTCCATTTCACAACAGGAAGGTTTTTCTGACGGATCCTATAAACCAACAGAGCAACTTTTATGAATCAAAAGTTGAACTCTGTTTATGGGTATTTTAACAGGTACTAACGAGCATCTTTTTAATGTACTTATCCTCATAGCGAACACGGTTTCAGGTTTAATTCTTCAGAACCTAAGTTTCAAATTTTGTTTTAGATATATAAGTGCTGTTACAAGGTCAGATTCGATTCGATTATTCAATTACGGCAAAGCACACGAGGGCTATCTCGCCTAAAGGGAGGGATGCCTTCGTGGAGGACTTTCTAAGGGAAACTGGCTCGTATACACGTTACACATGGGGGAAAACCACGAAAATGCCCATGCAGCCAGCCCGTTCGCGGGATTCGAACCTCGGACCGAACTACCAGTATTCAGCGTCTTTACCACTCGGCCGCTGGTGGGCCGTTACAAGGTCAGAGAAGTTTAATTACATTAACGTCTTTATAACATTTACCCCGGCCATCTTTAAATTAAATAAAATCAATACTTACTATTGCAACATTGTTTAGCTTAACTTTAAATTTAAAACCAAAAAGCAAAGAAATCAAATTTAATTATGAAAGATCTTTTACTTTCAACGCAGCTAAATCAATGCTGTAGCATCAGCATTTCAAAAAAAATAAATAAATAATAAATAAATAAAGTAAAATCAACACCGTTAAGTCATCAAATCTTTACGGAAAAAAAAAAAAAAAAAAAGAAAGAAAGAAGGAAAAAAACGAAAATAATTGAGAATCAGTGTGAAGAAACCTTTATACTTGTCAGCTTTAGCATCAATATGCCACATAATTTTATTGCATGAAAATTGTCTTAATTCAAAATTATGAAAGTAGAAACAGAAATACGTCTTAGAAATTATGTTTTAATGATTCAAAATTTTAGTGACAACTCGTGATTATATTTTCTTAAACCTTCTTGGAGCGAATACTTGGATATTACTATTCCATGTAGTATGTACATACTGTTCTAGTTCTTTTTCACCGCTACTAAATTATGGCTAATAATAGAAGTACTTTCGGTTAGCGCTTAAATTATGTTAATCGAAAAATTTAATTTCTTTCATTCCATTTAGACCTCTTTCTGATGATTGGAATTATTTTTCTGCCGAAAGAGCTGTGAAACATTGGCTTCATCCTTTGATAATGTCTAATTTTTCTGAAAATTTTATTCCTTTAATACTAGTCACAATGTTCTAAATTTTACAGTTTTAAAATAAATTAAAAAATTTGAAACTACTATTTCATTGTATTATTTTTTTATTATGAAAGCTGTAATCGGATGCACAAAATGCGAGATTTCAAAGTATGTGATTTTTTTGGTATTATCCGAAATATAAAACTTAATTGGAATTAACTGAAAGTTTTCAAAATTAAAGAAAAGGCATAATTTTCCCAAGCCAGATAACTTAATCGTCTTGTTATAGACCGGAAAACTACGCTGTGTTATCACATCAATAATACGTTTCCCAGATTTCTTATTTTACCTATATAATTTCAAAACTACAGTGTATTGTATGATGGAGACAGGAAGTTAATATAATAGAAAAGAAGATCATTAACTAAGAAGCTTTAAGGAATTCTGTTTATTGTTATTTTACCCTCTTCTAATTCAAAAGAAGACAGTATTTTCGACCATAACAAGATTCACAGTGTGAGCATTTACTGAGTCTCAGTGCAATTTTTTTATCTTCCCTGGGATGAAAATCGATATCTCTGATTCTGTGGATCAGTGTCTTCACCATTAAGAACACTAAAATATTCGCTTGCTCTCTTTAATATCTGTATAGTCACGAGCTTACCAATAAAACTCTTCAAGATTATAAAATGTAAATTTAATTAGTGTCATCTCATGTTTCTTAATAATCATTCGTCAGAAATAATTGAATACTGATCACAAAATTAGTATTCAAACGCGTAAGTTCTCAATAAAATACTAATGACTGAAGAACTTTGAACTATCATATTTTTGTTAAAAATGCATTTGCGTTTTTTTACTTTAGATTATGATTAACCAATAAGTACAAATATATATGGAAGTGCTTTGTATAAAGAAGAGGATAACGCTATATTCTAGATTGCCTCTTCCAGACTTAGGCAACATGAGAAATGATTCTACACGCCGATTCTTAGGAGATTGTTAGCTAAGTTGTTCTCATACGTGGCAAATTGATGATAATGTATTTTCCTTTAAATTTATTAATATGTTTAATTAATACGGGTTGAAAACTTCAACAGGTTAATAGTAGATCTGTCAAATTTTAGCATTCTTATTACAATATACAATAAAATACTAAATAAAATTTATATCTAATAAAATACAATTACACGGTTCCATAAACTCTATTACTACTACTTTCTTCGTACGTTTTGCGCCTTTGGATATAATGGATTTGATTCTGGATTGATGTATAATTTTGTTATGTTTGTATTGGGAATGGAAGAACCGTTTACTTTTAAACTTTCCTGTTAAATATGAATGAATACAGCACTAGTTATTATTATTATTAATTCACGGCAAGATAAATTATTGCTTAGTTTCAATTAAAGATTGTGTTTTGCTAGCCATTTTCCAGCTGATTTTGCACATCTCATAAACACATAGCTATTACAATAATTGTTTTGTTAACTTATATGAAGTGTAACTGAATATCATTTTAGTTATTCTTGTAGTAGTTTAGTATCTTGAAAATAAATACAGTTACCTCGCATGTAATGAAACACGAAACTTCATACATTAAAATACTGTAAATTTTTTTCAGTGCATCTGAGACGGCTACTTGTTACTGCCTAGACTATCAACTGTAACACTGAAATGTGTTGTTATTACATCCAAGTCTTGGAGAAAATATTAGCAGAGAGACGTTTGCTTCTATTATGTGCTTTTTTACAAACAGGTAAGTGCACTTAAGTTTGAAAATTCTAATGCAATTTCAGGGCAGCGAAAGTCACTTTTATGATTTATAATTCCCTCCGGGTTGCATACACTTGCTTAGAACCAAGGAGGTTAGAATAGAAGGAGGGAGGGTTCGCGGTTTCCTCCACTATCGGGGAATGAAACTCCGCTTAACAAGCGGCGTCCATGTTTGTGACTTCAAAACATTGCAGTGACATGTACGTGTTTCTAACCTGTTCCGTGCATTTATTTTCCAGTAAAAATATGTTAAATTTATAATGAAATCCCTCGCTATTGTTGAATTTTTGTTTTAAAGTAATAAAGATGATATCCATAATTTACTATGTACAGCAAATTATTAAGAATTAGTTCGAAATCTAAATGCATGCGCATAACATTAAAGCCTTTAAAAAATGATGTTTCTGCATGTTCTGCTATTTCACGGACTTGCTTAGGTTAGAAAATAAATCTTAATAAAATAATACAGATTATGTGAAGTGAAATTCATTGATTTCAGTTTATGCGCATTTCATATTTATTAATCTCAAAGAAACTGCCCTTAATTAAGTTGAATTACAGAAATACATCTATATAAGTTTTTGGATACATCTTTTCACATGTTCAATTGTGTAAATATTTTACTTAATTTTATCACTACTGCCCAGAAATTTGTAAGTTTATGCAAAAACTTTTTTAACAACAGAACAGTTTATCTTTAAAAAAAATGAATAATAATTAATATATAAAGAAAAGCATTGCTTTATTTAACACCTTTACAATTAATAAAAATAGTAACAATTGATTTCTTACTTTTCATGAAAGTTATAAAACGAATTAACTAAAACGTTCAAATTATACAATTTAAATCCTACCATATAGCATTGTATCTTAAGGAACGAAGATGCCAGCTATAAACAGAAACATTAAAATGTATTTAATATATTTTGATTATAGTTATATTAAATAACCTATTTTAAGTCCTTTTTTTCACATCTAGAAAGAAAACCACATGACATTGTGATATTTTTTGACATTAGTTGTCATATTACATAAAAAAAGAAAATTAATACTTACGTGTGAAAAATAATGCCCGGAATTTTTTTCGAGAATCTATTTCTCCTATCAACAACTACTGCTCAAAAAAAAGAAAAAAGTTGCATAAGTTCTCCATCATATACGGAATGGCGAACTCCGTTATTGACCTCCTCTTTTCAACCTCGAAAGCATTGCATCTTGCCACTAGGTGGCGGGCATCTCTTCCTTTACTTTTGCTGTAATTAAGTTCCGAGAAAGCAGTCGAGATTGGAACCGCTCTGAGGAGCGTAAAGACTCAGAACTAAAAATGTACTGTCTTAAAATAATTATCACCTACCTTGTAAATAGTGTATATTAGCTTTTTATTTCAATAAATAATTAAAAGACAAGATGGCCTGCTAATTGTAATAGAAACTCTTACTGGAAAACGTGATTATTAGAAGCCTGGCGTCGAGAACACTGAAGATGCAGCAGGTAAGGAATTTTACATTAATTTTATTGTAAATAGAAGAACCTGATGCAACATTTTTATGGCGCCCGAACAGGGACGCCAGGTTTTTTGAAAAGTTCTAATAAAGTGAATTCAAAAGCTGAATATTAAAATTGAAGATTTTAATACTTGTTCTTGAAGTATTCAGCAAAAGAATAATTTTGTTTTCTAAGTAAGAGTTAAATATTTGTTTTTCATGAGACGTATATTTTTTTGTGTAAGTGTTTGAATCTAAGAAAGATAATGGCTGAAGTAGATAAATTAAAAAAGAAAAGAAGTATCTTAAGAACTGCCGTTACAAAACTATTTAAGAAAATCGAAAGTGAATTAAATAAATCTGAAGGTAGTATTAATGAGCTCGAAGAATTGTTAGAACAGCTTAATGCTAAAACCGAAACGCTATCTAATGCCGATGTGGAAGTTGAACCAATTCTGAGTGTAGATGAATTCGAAAAATTACAGAACAATATCGCGAGAAGATAACGTTATGGAAATGGAAATTCAGGCTTAAGAAACGGATTAAGGAACTTAATCATGACTTAAATGCACCGAACACACAGCAAAATATAAAAAGATACACCTAATGTTAAATTACCAAAACTTTCGATTCCCGTATTTTATGGGAACAGTAGTCAATGGCTTACTTTTTGGAATAGTTTTGAGTCCTCAATACATAATAACGAATCATTGAACAAAGTAGACAAATTTAATTACCTGAAAGCATATTTAGGAGGAACAGCTGCTAGCTGCGTTCAAGGACTTCCGTTATCGCCAAAACATTATGATTCAGCAATTCAAATCTTACACGACCGTTTTGGAAGGAGAGACATTCTTATTAATGCGCACATGAATAATTTGCTGAATATTGAATCATTAAAAAATGCGAATGACATAAAAACATTTCGTAACTTGTATGATAAAGTACAAAAACGCAGATTAGATGTCTCGAAGCGTTAGATGTTGTATCGGAATCTTACAGCGCTTTGCTGTGTCCGATGATTTTGAAGTTATTGCCTTCAGAATTAACGCTTGAATTTCATAGAACACAAAATGTTGGCACCGATTATAACATAAAAGATTTAATGTCATTTTTACACGCAGAACTTTCATCCCGCGAACGCACAAGGTCAACGGTTTCGCAACAGCAAAAAGTATCCGATCGGCGACAGTCTTCTTCCCCCCCTGCAACGAAAAGCGCATATGGTCTCTCAAATAGACATAATAAACCAAAGATTCCGACCGCTACAGATTTGTTTACAAAATCCGAATGCAGAGAGGAAAATATGAACTGCGTCTTCTGTAATCAATTCACAAGATTTATGACTGTAGTTTCGTTTCCGGCTTATCATTACAAGAAAAAAGGGACATTTTAAAAAGAAAATGTGCTTGCTATAAATGCCTAAAATTACACCATTTGGCTCAAAACTGCAGAACAAAAATAACTTGTTCTATTTGTAAAAAACAACATGCAACTATTATGTGTAATAAACAAAATCCTTCTGTCGAGGTTTCGGAAATTAAAAAAGACGAACAGATAGAAAATAAAGTACTTTCAAATCAAGCAGGATGTTCAGAAGTATATTTGCAAACTTTAATTGTTCGCATATATGGAAGAGGGAATAACCAATTTGTTCGAGCGATAATTGACACCGGAAGTCAAAACTCATACATAAGCAGGTATGCAGCAGAAAGGTTACAATTAAGAAGCTTAGGTGAACAAAGTGTAACCCACGGACTTTTCGGTGGCATAGAAGTTTCGGAAAAACATAAACGTTATAGAATAAAATTGGGTAGCGTAGATAAACGGTATAATTGCGAAATCAATGTATTGGATGAAAGAAAAATATGTTCTTCGGTCCCTAAAATCAAAAATATACACTGGATTAGGGAACTTAGAAGAAGAGGAATTTACGTCAGTGATGTTTTTGAAAATGGAAAATTGCAGATTATTCCAGGAGAACCCCCAAGAGATTCATTTGTTGTTAGGGGCAGATGTTGCTGCAAATTTATTTACAGGTAAAATCGAAGTTCTTCCTTGGGGAAGATTAGTTGCTGTAAGTACAAGACTTGGGTGGACAGTCATGGGGAAAGCGAACACTGACAATTATGAAATAGAAAATTCCTTTTCCACGCTTTCGTTATCTTTACATATTTCTGATGCCACGTTGTCAGAACTGTGGAGGCTTGATGTTATCGGAATAACAGATCCAGTTACAAAAAAAGGCTAGAGAGGAAAGGGATTTGCAAGCAAAATTGCAATTCGAAAATTCTGTATCTCTAAACGAAGAAGGGCGTTATGAAGTCGCACTTCCGTGGGCGGAGAATCATGTACCACTCTCCACCCACAAGGATTTAGCGTTGAAACGTCTACAATCTACCACCCAGAAACTTTTATCTCAAAATTTATTTTCTTCATACAATGCAGTTTTTAATGACTGGTGTAACTTAGGAGTGATCGAAGAAGTTAAAGAAAATATTGCGGTTGACTATGGACATTATTTACCGCATAGACCGGTGATCAAAGAAAATAGCTCAACACCAATTCGACCGGTGTGTTTGATGCGTCTGCGAGGAAACAATCGTCTCCTTCTCTAAATCAGTGTTTGGAGTGTGGACCAAATTTGATAGAACTAATTCCATCTCTTTTGTTGAGATTTCGGGAAGGCAAGTTTGCTGCTATAGCAGACATTGAAAAGGCTTTCTTACAGATCAGTGTAAGGCCTCAAGATAGAGACTGGCTTCGGTTTTTTCTGGTGGAATGATGTGGAAGAAAGGAAAACGAAAATATTTCGTCATACTAGGGTAGTATTTGGGGTTAAGAGTAGTCCTTTCCTTTTGGCAGCTGTTATAGAATTCCATCTACAAAAGTACATGAAAAATTCTTCATATGATACGGAGATAATAGCTAAACTCTTGCGTAGCTTCTACGTAGATAACGTTGTTGCCAGTTTTGACAAAGAATCCGAGATGATTCCAGTTTCATCGAAAAATCTCGAGAAATAATGAATGAAGGAAAGTTTAATCTTCGAGGTTGGTTACATAACGGAGATAACTTGAAACAGGAAACTATTTCACCCGTATTGGGTCTGTTATGGAACTCTCAGAAAGATAATTTAACTTTGAATCTGAATTGGCTAGAAGATTTTGAAATGGGTAATAACGAACGAGAGAACAATTCTCGCTGTAAACACACAAAATATTTGATCCTATTGGTATTGTGAGTCCTGTTCTCTTGTATCCTAAAATATTGTTGCAGAACCTATGGAAAACAGGAATTTCTTGGGATACTGAAGTCGACGACGAGAGTACAAAACAAAATTTTGTGAATTGGTATAAAAGCCTTTTTCTCTTAAAAGAAATATCCCTCCTACGTTGGATACATTCCAGCAAGGACAATAGGAAGTTCTGCAGCATTCACACATTCTGTGATGCCAGTAGTAATGCGTATGCTGCTGCAGTTTTCTTGAGAACTGTGA